GCCTTTCTCTCTTTTTCCTTGTTTCTTTTTGTTTTGTGAATGATTATGCTTCAGGTGCAGTTCTGAGCGTCAGACACAGAAAGAACTTTCTTTGCGTTTTCTGATTCTTCGCAAGAATGCAACGGGAATGGTTCAGTACAGCAAATATCCGAGGATCACTAATTCTGTTGATTTAATATTGCATGAACACGTTCATTTACTAGTGGTTGACTAATGTCGGGTGGCATTCTAGGCAGAGGCAGAAGAATTTCACACCCCGCAGGAAGCGCTTAGCAATTTTGTCTTCGCGCAGATTCTACCACTGTACGCATGTCAGAGCTATTATTTTCCGTGCGCTGCTTGCCCATGAACTTATGGTCATATTCTAGTGCAAATGAGTGTCAATGCTATACAGCTTATCACTAAGCTATCTGGGATCTTGGGTTGTGGTCGCAGCAATCGCACATGGAATCGATATGGAGAATAGTCTAGTCGAAAACATTTGACATCCTCTACATCAAAATTTTTCAGTTGTTTGTTCCACATATACGTCGTATACGTTTATTTAATTATTGCCTTCATGTTTTGTATTTGTTGTTCCTAGCATCCGCCTTTCCATGTTGCGTTATGTAGTCTGTAGGTTGTGAATAATCACGCCTATCTATGCCTTCATACAGCAGTGGTTCGATTTATGGTAGAGTCTTTTCCTTGGTCTTAATCTTCTCTTATTCTCTTTCTCCTTAATGTTTTTTTTTCACGTTTCTCTTTGCTTCATGTTTGCCTTACCCTTGCCTGTACTCTTATCACTTTTCTGTTTCCTTATCATTGTTTGCCTTTACTTAATTCACAGATGTTACCAGCTGACGAAAAGTGCTTGTTGCGTAAAGGGACGATATCCATTTTTTGCCTTTTCTCCGTTTGACGTTTTGTTTTTATACAAGACTCTGTGGCGCTTGAAAATGTGTGTAGATATGTTTTTAACAGCAAATTTTAAACGTAAACTTTAAACTTCTGAATGTTTTTTGACTGATTCGTTTCAGGGAGGTGACGAAGACTGCATGCGGTGCGCCAGGTTTTTGTTACTTCATGGCTTATGTGCCGTGATTACATCCAGCGACATGCTTCAACCTTTATGTGCATTCGCATTGGTAGACTCCATCTCAGCCAGTACAACAGACTTTTCGCTCGTTCGGACGGTAAAGGTTCAGGCGCTACCATGCGCTTCTTCGTACTACTTTTCTGCGTTCACTTTCAGGCAATGCGTACCTGTTGCCGTTACGAGTGCCCCCAGAAATTTTTTCAGGAGAACGCGGCTACGGTCATTGATATGTGGCGACGCTACGGCCGGTCGTGGAACGACTTCCCTTTCCAGGTTCTGGGATACGCTGACAGATCTTCGTTCTTCAAGTATGTTGCGTGTTTCTGACTTGACGCACTGAGTTACACAAGGTGCATCGGGGCAAGTTTCATGGGTAAGGTTAAGAAATTTTGCTGTGAAGGTTGCACATGAAAATTCATAATCCGAAGGTACGCTTCATTACTCTATTATACTTTCTCATCCAGATGATAGTTCTCAATGTTTTCTGAATATTAGATTCGTGGCTTCCGATGAACCTTCGGAAACACTCGAGTTTCGTTCGCTACGCTTTAACCATGGTAATACGAGCTTGTGGAAATGGAAGTTAAAGTTTGCTTACTAAACAAGACCACAGGACTGTTTTGCTTTTCGACGTAAATTCAGGAAATTACAATTACTAAGCTATGAATGAGATGAGCAATTAATTAATTAATAAACGAAAAACAGTGATCGAATTTTTCAGGGCCTGTTTGTTTAAGTATTTTGCATCAGACGTGCTGGTTCGAATCGTACAACGGCGTTAATTTTTCTTGTTAACCGTTAATTCCCTTTACGGATGTGATTTGGCTCAGCTGCTCGCAAAATGGGTTCAAATCGTTGACCTGCGAACTACTGGCATACGGCACACGGTGTTCTGATATGGTGATGCCAAGCTCACGCGACAACGGGTCATGCAACTGTTGTTCGCCTTGACCTACCTGATGACTGATCAACTCACAGTGTTTACCCTTTAAAAACAAACAGTCACGCCGCCTAGATGCGATTCAAACTGTCGTTTTGCTGAGGACCTCTGCAGATTTCAGGATGACAAGCTAGAACCGAAGATATTAAACTTCCGCGTAATTCGCTTGAAACTTGCAGCTCCGGGAATGACTTGGAAGAACAACTTCTTATATAACTGGTTATTGTACAGCCTTTCGTTGTGTAATGAATATAATTTTATGCAGTATACTCATCCTGCTGAATGGTTTTGTTCTGCTGGTTAAACAGTTATTTCACTTTCACTTGAAGTAGTGGCACATTGTCTAAGAGGCCCACTTCGAGCTCCGTGTTTATATCCGCTAGAGGGC